GCAGCCCTCCTCTTTCCTTTCTGGGTCTTCACCAGAATCGCCCTTAATGGTCCATTCACAACAGCAACATAGGCTCCTCCTAGCAGATACTCTCAAACTCTTCCAGCCTCTACCCATCACCCAGGTCCAAAGCTGCTTCCATGTTTCTAGGTATTGGTTACAACAGAACCCCCACTTCTGGGTACCAATTTTCTTCTGTCTTAGTCCTTTCAGGCTGTTATAAAAAAATCTGTGCACTGGATGGCTTAGATAACACAAATTTATTTCTCACAGTTTTAGAGGCTGAGAAGCACTGGTAGATTTGGTGTCTGGTGAGAGCCTGTTTTCTGGTTCATAGATATTGGTGACCTCACATGGCAGAAGTGGAGTGAGAACGTTCTGCGGGGTGGGTCTCTTTCATTTAAGGGCACTAATCCCATGCCCTCATGACCTCATCACCTCCCAAAGGCCCACCTCCTAAAACCATCATCTTGTGGTGTAAAGATTTCAACATGAATTTGATATAAACATTCAGTCCATCACACCAGCCATTTTCCAGCTAGCAGGTAGACCGGCCCTCAGGCCCCCTCCTCACCTGTGGCCCAGACCTTGTTTCCATTAGGGAGAGGTCAGGTCTGCAGAAGCACATTCTGAAGATATGGACACTATTGAGGAGGAAGAAATTTCCTCTACTCCTTGAGGTTCTAGGGGGTTCAAGAATCAAATTGACATGAGACAAGTTAATAGAGGAAAAAGCCCAGAATTTAATTACATACATATGGGGAAGCCACAGGCATGGCAGTCAGGGAGCATGAGATATGTAGGTCATCCTGAACCAAGGAGAAGGGGGTAGGGGTCTGAGACTTCAAAGGAAAAGGGAAGCGATTCACAGGAATATGAAAAGAGTAAATGTTTGGTAAACAAAATACCTGAGAGGCCACACAAAAATAATTGGGCACACAGAGAAATTTTAAGACTGTCACGTTCCTTCTTGTCACCCCTAGTTTACATTATAATGCAGTCAGCTATAGAGACAGCTCTCCTCCTAGAGCAGTTCCTCCATATAAACCCTTCTTATGCAGTTGTGGGTGGGAGGTGGGTGGGGGCAGAGGTAAAAGTATCTTCCTGAGTCTTTTGGGCCTTGGTGGTTTTCAGCTCAAAATAATCTGAATGATACCAGGGCACATATTGGTCCCTATAACACCAAGGCCTCCACTCACTGGCTGGGTGACCTTGAGCAACAGTCTTTACTCTTCTTAATGAGCCTGTGTCCTCATCTATAAAATGGGTCTGTCAGCCATGGTACTAGTCTCTATGGCAACCCTTCTTCACAGTCACCCCTTGAGGGACATAAACTCATATGCAGTTATTGATCATCATCAACACCCTATTGAAACCATCATATGTGGATGTGCTGCCCAAATGCCCAAGGCCAAAATGTAAGTTTTCTCATCCAATTCTCCTCCACAATCCAATGCACCTTGTGACTGTCCCCATTTTACAGATGAGGAAACTGAGGCCTAGGGAGTCTAGAGGTCACACAACTAGGAAGATGCAGAACACAGTATTCTAAAACTGTCTGTCTGGATGACCCTAGAGCCTTCATCATTAATTATGGGGCCTCTTAAGACAATGGCAATCTGCCCAGGATGTGGGGAGGGACTATGATCAGGGCTAATGACATACTTTGTCAGTGCCTTGATTCCTCACCGTAAAATGAGACAATGGTAAGAGTAAAATACCTCCCCCAGGGTCATCGTGAGAATTAAATGAGTTAACATATGTAAAATGCCCAGAGCTGCACTGTCCAGTACAGTAGCCACTAGCCACTTGTGGCTACTTTAATTTTAACTAATTAACATTAAAATTACAAATTCAGCTCCTCAGTGACACTAGCACATTTCAAGTACTCAATAGCATCGTGCAGCTAGTGCAACCCTACCAGACAGCACAGATGGGATATTTCTATCATCACAGAAAATTCCATTTGCCAACACTGGTATAGAGCAATGGCACGAAGCAAGCCTCAAAAACTATTGTATTATTAATTGAGATTGCTAGCTATTATGATTATAGTATTATATCTATTCCTGTTAATCCTATTCTATCCTGCTATTTTTATATTTGTTATTATTAATCCTGTAACTAAGTGCTATTATTGTTAGTCTTAGAACTGTTACCTATGATTACATTATATTCCTTATTAATCTTATTACTATTCTATTGTTTTTTAATGATATTAATATTAACCATATAACCATTAGCTATTACCACTATCAATCCTAGACCTGTTAACAGTTATTATTAAATTTATTATTACCACTAGCATCCTATTCTTGTTTTGTATTTGCTATTATTCCGTAATGGCTAATAGTAGCTATTATTATTGTTAGTTAGACCTATTAGCTATTGTTGCATTATGTTTATTATTGTCAATCCTTTATTATTAATCCTATACTGGTTAACTCTTGTTATTGTTACTAATATCACTTGTGAATATTACTATTAAGGGTATTAATAAGTATGCATTAATATTGCTATCGTCTATTGTTTTGTTGTTAACTCTGAGAGTCTCCAGCCCCAGAACGAGGCAGGCAGTAGGCACTCTTCTGTTCAGCGTTTCTCACCGTCAGAAGGAAGGGCTCGGCTAAGACAGCCTGGTCCGTTTCCGGGGAATTGGAACAAACTCTTTCCCTCTTGGGGCCCCAGTGACCTGTGAAGTGGGAGGAGCCACGGCCGGCGGGCTCCCCGCGCAGAAGATGAAATCGCTGCTCCGAGCCTCTGTGTTCTTGAATCTAGGGCGAGGCGATTCGTTGTAGGGGGGTATTCGTTGTATACCCTTTGCTTTTCTAAGGAAAACCGAAAACAGGGTGAGAAATCTTGATCATCGAAGAGCTTTGAAACAAGATACAACTCTGCAGGGGATGCGTGGCGAGAAGAAATTAAGCGAGAAAGGAAACCACTTTGGGCCTCAGAGAAATCTGGCGCGAGAGAAGGTTTGCACCGTGATTAAAAAGGGGAAGAACCACAAGTCTCCATTTAAGTCAGCAGAACTGCTGTCTGGGCAGTGAGAGGGAAAGTGCTTGTGGCTGGCAGATTTCAGCAACCATTTGACAACTGTTGTGTACCTGGCTGCTCTTTTGGTGTCCCCTGGCAGCTGTGTGACTCTAGGCAAGTGACTGCTCTCTCTGGGCCTCAGTGCCCCAAGTGTAATAAAGAGATAACATGGAGTGATCAGTTTAGGCTTTCCTGAGGCCCCCTTGTCCCACATCTTCAGGTGCTGTAGTGAGCATCACAGAGACACCTCCTAACGGGCTGCTGACTCGAGACTTTGCAGCTTGAATCTCAAGCTCAACAAGTCCCTCTACTCAAACCTCCATGGCTCCCTACTGCTCTCAAGATAATTCCCAAACTTGCCACCAGGACTTTCAAGTCTCCATGGAATGGGCCCACCTTTCCAACTCATCTCTTCCCATCTATCAGTTTAGGTATCACCACTGCCTTCTTGACCTTCTCTAAACAGATTAAGCTGATTTCCATCGCAGGACCTTTGCACTTGCTGTTCCTTTGCCCTGGAATGTCCTTGCCTCAGATCTTATCATGCCTGGATCCTTCTTGCAATGGTTGGGGGAGTCTTAGCTCCAGTGTATTTAATATATATTGGTGGAAAGCACATATTTTTGGCCAGTTCCTTCAAAGTATTGGACTCCAAGGATCCTATAACTGACCAAGCTCTCTTCCCCTAGTAGGGTGGTGTCTGGAATTCCCTATCTTGTGGGGAACCCTTTCCTGTACCTTCAAGGGCAGGACTTTGCCTGATTGCATAACACTCCTGTAGCAGTACTTTCCCCTCGGCAAAGCCCCATGCTAACTGCTTTAATGTAGTAAATCATTTAATCTTCACAACAGCCCAGTGGAGTGGGTGCTCTTATTTCCATTTCATAGATGTGGAAAGTGAGGTATGGAGAAGTGAAGTCATTTGCCCAAGGGTAGTCAGAGGAGGAGGCAGTGGAATGGAGGAATATGCTGTTTGGAAAGAGGTGATGTGGCCCCAGCAAGCTGGGGATGTAACCAACTTGTTTCCAGTTGTGGAGCGGAGAGAGGAGGACACATTCTTCCCTTTTCTTGCTCCCATGTATTGGGGAAGGGGCTGGCTGATATATGCTCCACCTCAGATTAGGGGGACCCTACTATATAGGGGGACCTTACCCCATATAAGGCCCGTAGAGAAAATGAAAGTAACACTGGGCAGAGCAGAAAGGAAGGTCCAGAGGGCGCAGGAGCCAGCGGTCCTGGAGTGCTTCCTGGAGAAAGATGCACTCCTGCAGGAGGGGACGGGTGGCCGATAAAGGCGGGTCTATGCGGGCAAGCGCTGCGACAAGAGCAGACCTGAGAGCGAGGACAGAACCCGAATGGGAGGGTACGGTCGTGGCGGGTCGGCTGAGCAGAGTCGCGGACAGTCGGGCCGGGTGGGGCTGGATCCTTCCCTGGCTGGTGATGAAAGCTGTGGTGGCTATTGCAAGGACTGGCCCGGCGCGTGCAGATAAGGCCCGGCAGGACGGAGTCCGCAGGGGCGCGCCCCCTCGAAGCCAGGCGGCTAGGATCGGCCCCGCCCCCAGACCCCTCCTCCCTCCTTTCTGTCTCCGCCCCCGCAGCGCGGAGACTCCCGTTAGCGAGCCGTCGCAAGGTGGGTGGAGCCAAGGCTGCCCCGCCCCTTCGCCGTTTTTCCCTTCTTTAGGCTGAGGGATACGAAGTCCGGTGGGCGAGTTGTGGGCGTGACTTGTAGAGGCCCTGCCTCCCGACCCGGCCCGCCTTCTGAGACCCCAGCACCTTGGTCAGCCGCCGAGAAGGGTTAGTGGGAGGGGCCAGTTCTGGCCCGCCCCCAGGGCCTGCCTCCTCTAGCCTAGACTGGCTCGCGGGCGGGTAGGGCGTGGCCTCTAGTGGCCCCGCCCCGCATGGGCCCCGCCCCCTGGCCTCCCTCCCCCTCCGCGCTCGGCTTGCACAGCGGGTTCCTCTTTACATAACGGCGCGGGGCGGCATGGGCTCGGGCCACTGCCTCCGCCCGGCCGCCCGCCCGGACTGTCGCGGCCCGCGGTGGAGACCGCGCCGGCAGCAAAGTTTCCCCGGCAGCGGCCCGGGGGCGCATCCTCCCGCAACTGTCAAGCGCTGGCGGCGGAAATGATGAGGCGCTGGCCATTTTCCGAGCTCGGGTTTCCTGCCTGAGCCCCTCTCGTGCGAGCCGCAAGCCAGGAGCCGGCGCGCGGGAGAGAACGCGCCCAGGGCGGGGGCCCGCCCGCCCCCTCGGGATTTTGGGATCCGGGGGGACGAGCGACGCCATGGGCCGGCAGGGCCCGGACCCCCTCTCTCTCAGGTAAGCCCGCGTTCCCGGCGCTGCCGGGCTCCGGAGCTGGGAGGGCTCTAACGGGGGAGGAGGCAGCCTCCTGTCCAATTCTGCCCAGTGTCTGCGCACTCCCGAAAAGCCTGATACTGTCCTGCAGTGAACTCAGATGGGGGTGCTCAGGGGTGGGCCTTCCCCAGCTCCCGAGACACCCTCCCAGCCGACACCCACACGTGTTGGAGATGTAATGGGATGGCCAAAGACAGTGGGGGAGGCGCTGAGGGAGGGTGTGAGTAGCCCGCAGGCCACCTCTTAAAGTAGCCCAGCCGGTCGAGGGCAGCAGACAACTTGTGTCTGGTGAGGAGGGGTCGGGGTCACCACTTGGTACCTTGAAAGTGAAAGTATCAAACAGGCTGTGAGAATGGCAGAGCCCTCCCCACTCTCCCAGGCCAGGCCATGTGGCTAAGGGGAATAACCCTGACCCCGGAAGCCCGTGTCCCCACTCCCTGCATTGTGGACGTGGACCAGGCCAGGTGCCTCCAAGACACTGAATTTGGGGGTTCTCAGGTTAGGGGTTCCAGAGCTCAGGCCTTTTGGAGCTGGGATCCTCACACTCTGGATCTGGGACTCCAGGGGAATCCCCCCACCAAAATCAGGATGGTGGGGGGCGTTGGCCTTAAAGGTCAGCAGGCCTGGGAGGATACTTCAGAGGCCTTTAATGCCTGGTGCAGAAACCCCCTCCCTTCCCTCTCTCTGGTCATGGGGGCTTTTGGGGCAATGGGGACTGCGTTTGAGGAACTGGGGAGGGGGCCTGCTTGCATGTCCCGCTTCTTTTTTTCTTTAGTTTCCTCATTCTCCTGTTTCTCTTCCCCATTCCCAAGCCACGATGCTGTAGGTGAGGAGGTCACAGCCTGCAGCTGGGGGCCTCCAGGGAGGAGCATGGCCTGGCTGGACTTAGTGGGAGGAAGTGAAATTGGGTTGTGGGTGGGGTCGTCAGAGCACAGGGCCTGGCAAGGCATGTCCGCAGGGCCAAGGTTGAGCTCTGGAGACTAGAGGGGCTGAGGTCTGACCCGTATCTCCCTTGTCTGGGAGATGAGCATCCCCTGACATCCCAGCTACCAGGCTCATCCAGGGCCTCCAGTCCATCCCACTTATCATCCAGCCCTTGGGCCCTGCCATGGTGGTAGGCACCTGGATCTCCAGGGTTGTGGGCTCCAGTTGTGTCTGGATTTCCCACCACTGACCTGGCTGCCAGAGTGGAAACAACTCTGGAGGTTCCCTGGGCCTGTGGGGCCGGAGACCCAGCCCTAATGGGGGAAGAGCAGGCAGAGGCTGCCTAGTTGGAAGAGGCTAGAGCCTGTTGGGGAAGTTGGAAGGATTTTTAATACACTTTTTGGAGCCTTTTCCCACAGTGCTCCTCTGGGAGGGAAAATCCTTCTGAGCAAAAGGGTGAACATTCCTGGAACTTGTGTGAGTCCCTCTGGGCCACAGAGGCAGCTGGTTGGGAAGGGGCTGGACCAAAGTACCAGCTGCTGGAGTCTGAGGACTTCTGGAGCTCACCAGTGGCAGAGGAGGGTCTTGGAGTCTTGGGTTCCATCCTCCTACTGCCCCTTTCCAGCTGAGGGCGTGAGCAAGTGACTCTTGTGAACCTCAGTTTCCCCCTATGTGAAATGAGGTAAATAAAAGGCTTCTGGTAGGGATTTAATGAGCCTCTGTGTGAAAAACACCTGCTGCCTGGCAGAGAACGAGTACAATTACAGGTGGTGGCTTTATTTTTATCATCACCATCATTTGTGTTGTTACTGCCTGTGGAATTTTCCCTCATCAGCATCCCTTGGGCACCTCCAGTCTGTATAGCTCTGGGATTTCCTGAGGCTTTGGGAGGATTCTGAGGACCCAAGCAGGATGAGGGGCTGGTGCTTCCTGGCTCTAAGGCCTTGCTTAACTCTCTGAGCCTCAGTTTCCTCTTCTGCCAAATGGGTGTGATGATAGTACATACTTCTTAGCATCATTGGAACCACAAATGAATTCACAAAGTGTTTCGAACAGTTTGATCAGGAGTAGTAGCGGTCATAATGATGGAATCGTTACTACATTGTTTGTTGTTATCTCTGCTTGTTTTCCTTCCTGACCCCCTGGTCCCACTTCTTAACCCTGGGCTTAATCCTTCTCCTATAGAAAGAACTTTCTAATACAAGTCGGATCCTGTCAAACCACTCCAAATAGGATGATAGCCTGGGCCCACCAGGCACTGGGTAGCCCTGCAGCAGCTCAGCCTATGGGGGCCCTTGGATATCTGGGTCTGGCTCTGCCACCCCAGGACACCTGTACCTCCTGATGGAAACTCCCCAAAGGCAGAGGGGGCAGGGCTGGAGGCACCTGGGGGACCTCCCAGTCCCAGGGCTGCCCACTTTAAATAGGGGGAGGTGGAATATAAAGGACTCAGTGCTGAGCCTCAGACTGATAGTATTGATGATGATGAAGATGATGATGAAGATGATGATGCAAGAGGCCTCTCCTATTAAGCTTCCACTTCTTCCTGGCATAGGTTTTGGAGCCAAATAAGAGCTTTGCCAGTTTCCAGCGGCGAGGCCTAGGCCATGTTACCTAACCCCTCCGGGCTTCACCTGCCCAGTGGGGGCTAAGAGTCCTAGTCTCTCCTGGTTATGAGCCTGTGTGAGCTCATATGTGAAGTGTATGAGCCATGCACAGAGTGGGGACTCAAAACTGTGTTGGCTGTAATTGCTATGGCTGTGTGACCTTAGGCATGTCTTTTAGCCTCTCTGAGCTGTGGCTCTCCTCACCTGTGACATGGTGTACTAATGACTGCACAATAGGGTTGTTTAGAGAAGAGGCATGCACAGTGCCAGTGCTCAGCAAGTGTGAGCTACTGCTATTAATGCCCAAGAAGGGGCTGGCACTTAATTGCCAGGTTTCCTGGGAAAACAGTACCTAGGAGCCCCCTGGGTGTTCAGCTCCTTGGCTGGGCAGGGTAGGAAGCTGCTTCCAGCTGACCTGCCTCAGAGAGTCCAGAGGTGGAGTACAAATTGCTTGTTCGCAGCCAGACCCTGTTCCCAGCTACCCTCCTTGAGGAAACTGAGGCGGGCAGGCTGCCAGGGGAAGTGACTCAGCTAGGGTCACACGCTGAGTCAAGCCTAATTGAACCCAGGAGCCCTGTGCCCCAGCTCCCTAGCTTCTGGTGGCCTGAGGTCCCTTGGGGTCTGGGCAGGTCCAAAGGCCACAGCTGGATGCCTGTTTACTTGGGCCCTGAGACCTGGGGAACCAGAATTCTTTGGTAGGCAAGGGCTCCAGGGTCCCACTGGCCGCCACTGGGCAGCTCAGCCTGGTGTCCTTCCTCTCGGCAGGGGCAAGGGGCCCTCCCCAGGAGAGCAAGTCCTCCTGGTGTCCCTCGGCTCCGCCCCAGCCGGAAACCCAGCAGCTGAGCAGATGGCTGGAAGATTTTTCCTCCCACGCCACCCTGTCAGGGGTCGGTGAGGGGGGCCAGGCTGCAGGCTTCCTCATGAGCCAGGCCTGGAGCCCCTGGGGGCCTGCCCGGATGTGGGCCCCCACCCCGGCTGGCGGGGGGAGCCTGCCACTGCCCTATGAGTCCCCAGGGAGGCCTGGGAGGAAGTCTATGTCCTGTTCACCGGGAGCTGACTCACAGGGTGCCTGATAGGGGTGCTGGGAGACGTGGACACAAAAGAGGGCTTTTGGTATGGAGTCTGTGCTTGAGAGCTGACACTCTGGTGTCATCTCACAGGAGAGGCCAGAGAGGGTGATGAGTGTGGGGTGGGGGGTGCACAAGAGCAGGAGGCTTGAGCATACCCCAAAGTAGCACTGTTGAGGGCCATGGGACCCCCTTGTCAGGGGGTTCTCCCCTCAACTCAGGGGCTGTTAAAGGAAGACATCATGCGCTGGGCCCCAAAGGCCGTGGCTTGGAGATTACTGTCCATTCTGGGGAGATGTTTCTTAGCCTTCCTCACCTCCTGAGGCATAGCTGGGGAGGTGGCCGGGGTTCAGGGCAGAGGAAGCCAAGGACATTTCCTGCTCTGGCAGTCTGTGCCAGTCTGATAAATGTCCCTGGGCATTAGGTGACCCCAGAGAAGGTGCCTCGTGGTCCTGCTGGCTGCCCAAAGGTCTAGGGCAGAAAAACCCACCTCTTAGTCTCCCCAGGACTCCAGAACCTTTGCTACCTTTTTCCCATGGGCTTCTCCACAGTCTGATTAGCCCAAATGGTATGAAAGGTCTGTGGGCCACCTGCCAGACAGTGTATGTTGAAATCTCCCCAACTCTCTGGGCCTCCTTGGGTAGGGAGAGGGTCTGGGTTCCTGCAGAAGTTGGTTCTGTGGGTAGGAAAGACAGAAATGCTTGCTGTGTCCTGGAGTCAACCCAGAGGCCTCCCTGGAGGAGGTGTCTCCTGATGGTGTAAGACTTCTGCTCAAACATCAGTGAGCTGGGGACTGGGGAGCTGTCATCCTGGGAGAGGATGGAGACTCTGGACTGGCTTATTTTAACTTCACTTACCGCAATTTAAAAATGTCCTTCCTAAGCCTTGGCAGGTGGAATTCCCACAGGTGGGTAAGGGCCTCCTCTGCACCTGGGCCTGATCATTAAATGGGAAATGTTAGCTTCTCCAGATTGCATTATTACCCAGGCTGGTTGGGTAGGAGAGCCTGACGAGCCTTGGTCTCTGGGGTCGTGGTTTAGGGTGAGCCCCACAGCTTGGAGCCAGGATTCCCAGCTGTTCCGAGCCTGGTTTCTCTCCAACTTAGTAGAGGCTTGAGAGTCCCTTAGGATGGATATGCTTGAACGGAGGACACCAAGCATGGGCGAAGACTTTACACCCCTCTCTGGGTTGCCCTTTGCAGGTACTCTGCTGGACACTGCTGTGTGAGTGTCCTGAGAGGCAGAACCCAGGGTGCTAGGATGGGCATGGAGGGAGCGGCCTCCCCCTCCATGTGTTTGCTATGGGGACTTGGTGGGTGGGGTGCCAGAGTGCCATCTTCCTGCTCCATACCAGTGTCCTTGTTCCTCACCCTGTTGGATTTGGGGTAATAGTGGTGTGCCCCACCTCACTGCATCTGGAAGCTCCATGCTCCAGAAGCCCAGGCTGAGCAGGTGGGAAGGAATCCCTGAATTTGCAGGTCCTTCTGTGTGGAAGGCTATTCATGCCACTGTCCACTGAGACTCTCAGATACTCTGGTGGGTAGGAGACAGAAGTGCCCCCAAAGATGACCTACTTATAACCCCAAGCCTAAGCCTAGGGTCTCCTGGGAACCCCCAGGTGACCAGTAATTGTTCTGCCGAGAGCTTCTCAGGCCCTGATCCAGGGTCGCATGATCTGATCCATCGCTCTTCCTCGGTGCCTGGCAAGAGTGAGTGCTCAGTAAGTGGCTACCACCTGGGCTGAGGCCCAAGGAGGGACCACCTGCCTGCAGCCTGGCTGCCTGCCCAGCCAGGAAACCTCCCAGGCGTGGGCCACAGCTGAGTGCTCTGGCTGGCAACTTCCTGCACAGAGATCCTGCCCAGGGTCGCCTCTCCCCTGAGAAGGACGTTTGTTCGGGTTCCCGTGACCCCCCCAGCCTGGCCAGGCTCCCCCTGTGGTTTCTCATGGCAGGCAGGCCTGACATGCTCTGGAGCCAGGGCTCCTCTTTCTAACAATAATAGTAATAAAATAGCAATAGCCACTTGTACCCTGAGCCCCATGCCAGGCACCGAACAGATTTTAGTTCTTAGAATGTTCCTAGTGGCTGCCAAGAGACAAACATCGGCCCATTTTACCGATGGGAATACTGAGGCTCAGGGAGCCCCCACCCCCTTTCTGCATCACACAGCAAAGAATGGCAAAGGCAGGACTAAACCCAGGTTTGGCTGGCAACTCCGTCCTGGAGAGGTCATCTGGCATCTGGGTGGGAGGGTTCTCGGTGGGTCTCTCAGAGCCCCACCACCTTTTCTGTCAATCCACGTGGGTCAGGAGCATGACTGCAAACGGCAGCCAGCCTTCATCCCCGGTGTTGCCTAATTCATACACCTAATGTTTCTGGAGCATCAACTCTAACCAGGCCCTGGCAAGTGAGCAGGACTGAGATGGCCTTGGGGCACAAACGCTGCAGGTTGGAGGAGAACAGTAAGGAAGCAGTGTCCGTGTCCACCTAGCACTTGCTAGCAGAGAAGCAGGTTCTGATCCTGGCCCTGCCTCTTGCTGGCCCTGTGACCCTGAGCAAGCCACTCCTCCCATGATTTGGTTTTCTCATCTAAAGGATGTGCATAAAAGATAGGACTCCCCTCTCCAGTGGGAATTAAGTGAATGAATATATTCAAAAGTGTTTAGCACAGAACAAGGTACACAGAAAACCAGAAACTCATTTATTGCTGTTTTTGTTTTTTAAATTGCAATATAGTTGACATGTTAGTTTCAGGTATACAGTAAGAACCATGGTGATCATTTTGCAATATATAAAAATGTTGAATTATTATGCTTTAAAATTTTTATCTTGTGGCTATTTTCCCAACCATCTGATGGGTTTGGACCTGGACAGAGTTGCTGATACCTCCTGATTCCAGCAGGAGCTCAATAAGACCTTTATGTTCCCTCCTCCGGATCCCACTCAATAAACATCCTCTGGGATGTGAATCTTCCTCGTGGTGTGCATTTGGGCCCTGATCAGACATTTTGGGGGTGCCTGCTGTTGGGGGGTTTCTGTTGATTGCCGGCTGCAGGACCTCTCTGTGCTTCAGTTTCTCCATCTGTAAAATGGGGACAATTATTGGCCTTATTTCCTAGGGCTTTTGTGAACCTCGTGAGAGTTAATATTCTGAAGCAGTTAGAACAATACCTGGTATACAGCAAGTGCTTGGTACAAGCTGTTCTTCTGATGTGGGAACTGGAGTTAGGGGCCATGGTGGAGGCTGCCAGCCATTGCCTGGGCAGTGAGGCAGGCACAGCTGTTCCAAGAAGACTCCTGCCAGGGCTTGGTCCTGTCATTGGGCTTTGAGGGTGACATACAGGGGTGGACAGGGACAGGTGTTCCAGGCAAAGAGACAGGCATGGACAGAGGCCCAGGGTGCCCGGGAGGTGACATGGCCCAGCAGGAGGTGGCTGATGGTGGGTGCTGGCCTCCATGCATCTGCCAGAGGAGCGGGAGGCTGCAAATGCAGCAGGCCTCAATGCTTATATTCTTTCATTCCATAGGCATTTACTGAGCTCCTGTTGCATGCTAGGAACTGGGGATGGAGCAGGGAAGAGCTCCTGGCCTAGAAGAGCTCACAGTCTGGTGGGGGAATAGCCACTAATTAACTCACAGTTATTGAATGATGGCATGTGACCAGCATACTGAAGGACAAGTTCAGGACTCGAATTGATTGGTGAGTTCAGGGCTCTCAGAGCCCCATCACCTTTTTTGTCAGTCCTGTGTGAGACTGGAAGTTGACTGAGAGCAGGCAGCGCAGAAGGACCCTGATGCAATTGCCCAAGGCAACTGGTGTGAGTGGGGAAGGAGGAACAGGAGTGTGGATCTGGAAGAGCTCTCTGGGGCCCCCAACCTGTGAAGACAGTGCCTGCCTCACTGGTGCTGTGGAATGGGTATGGGGTGGCGGTGGGGTTGACTACTGACAAACTTCCCGCATGTGCAGATAAAATCCCCTTCAGTTTACAAGGTGGTTTTCTTGGCAATGTGGTGGTCCCTCTCCCTTTCCTTCTGCTTGGCAGCTTTTATTGACTACCTACTGTGTACAAAGTGCCCACCATGTGTACACACCAAAGACCCTATGATGTACAAGAATGTCGACTCTGGGCCAAGTATCCTCCTGGCTGGTGCAGAGGCACCTAATCTGCACCATCTGGGGTGTCCTGATGCAAACAGCTGCGGGGCCCTCATGGCCCTGCAGGTCTGCCCAGCATGCAGAAAGACCCTCAGTTCCCGGGTTCAGGTAATCCACCATGAGTGCCATCTCATGGACCCCATATGACCATCTTATGCAGTGGATACCATGCTGCTCCCTGTTTGACAGATGAGGAGACAGATTCAGAGAGGTCCAGTCAGTTCTCAGAGGCCACACAGCCTGTGTGTGTGTGTTCGTGATGTGGCCCCAGGAAAGTGGTGCCCTCGGGGCCTTACACAGTGCCTGGTACACAGGAAGCCCTAAGTATAATATTTCGGTGGGGGGTGGTGTGACTGAGCAGCCATGTTTACATGATCCCCAGTGAAGCCCCTGGGCCCAGTCAGGCTTAGTTGGAAAGAAAGGTGGTACTGATGGTAACCAGAGAGGCCCAGGGTTCAGCACCGCGGACAGCAGAGGGTATGGGGGCTTCTGCCACTTTGTGTGGTGCTAAGGACCCGTGGGGTGGGAGGAGAAGGGAGCCACAGTTGAAATGGGCAGGCAAGGGAGAGCCTTTGTACCCCTTTGTGAGTCTTGTTAAATGTATTCCCTTTTAGTCTTTGTTTAATATTAATTTTGATTGACATCAATAATATACTCTTGTAACATGTAAATAGTAACAGCAGCCAGCTCTTATTAGGCTTTTCTAGCTTCTAAGGCCTTTACATTTATTAACTCAATTAATCCTCATAACACTGATAAGAGGTAGGTGGAGATATGGTCCCTATTTTGCACATGGGGAAACTAAGGTAGAAATCTATTCACTGAAGGTCGCACAACTAGTAAGTGGTGGGGCTGGGATTTGAACCCATGCTCCAAGTTCTCTGTTCTTAACCATATTTTTGAAACAAGTGGCAGCAGTCTTCCTTGGTTACTTCTCCCTGCACCTCAATTCTGGTTCCTACTCAGAGGTCACCTCTGTCTCTGAGTGGGTTTGTTCCAGCCACAGCTTTTTTATCCACAACTTAAATACATGCATGTACACATAAAAATTGGTAGTTTGGTTTTGTGCATGTTCATATAAATGGGATTGCATAGTTTGCATTCTGTGGTTTGCTCTTTTACTGAATGGTGTGCTTTGGATCTCTCTCCGAGGTGGTAGCACAGATTCCCCTCCTTTTCCACTGCTGCAGGATATTCCAGCTTGCAGATGTACCACAGTTCATCTCACCAGTCTCTGGTGAATGGGTGTTTAGGTTGTACTTACTTGTTCCCTATTACAAATGTGGGGGCAGGAAACGTCTAACAGGGGAATGTCCTGTCCATGCCTCTGTGCACATGAGAGCAAGGATTCTCTCCAATACTTAAAAGTGGAGTTACTGGGGCAGAAAATGGTCCTGCAAAATTGCCCTCTAAAAAGTCTGTTCCCCTTAACAGTAGTGGCAGCATTGAAAGGGAGTGCCCATTTCACTGCGTGTTTACCGACACTGCGTGTTAGTAATTTTTGCTTTTGATGTCGTGCGTGGTGAAGAGCGTGGCTGGCAGTGGTGGATGTAAGGAGCCCTCCGCTCACCGTGTGCTGCCTGTCCCACTGTGTCTTTCAGCCTGGCCGCTCCACCTCGGTCTCCGCCATGAACGGGCCGGCCCTGCAGCCCTCCTCGGCCTCCTCCGCATGCTCTGCCTCATCTGCAGCAGCGGCCGCGTCTCCGTCCCCGCGGGGCTGGAGCGAGTTCTGCGAGCTGCACGCCGTGGCCACTGCCCGGGAGCTGGCCCGGCAGTACTGGCTCTTCGCCCGCGAGCACCCGCACCACGCGCCGCTGCGCGCCGAGCTCGTGTCACTGCAGTTCACCGATCTCTTCCAGCGCTACTTCTGCCGCGAGGTGCGCGAGGGCTGGGCGCCCGGGCCGTCGGGGCTCCGGAACGCGCCGCCGGCGCGCGACTACCGTGAGACGGGCCGCGGGCCCCCCACCAAGGCCGAGGTGTCCCCCGCTGAGCCGGGCGCAGGCGCCGCCGCCCCTGCCCTGCCGAAGGCCCGCAGCTCGGAGGAGCTGGCCCCGCCGCGGCCGCCCGCCTACTCCCTCCAGCACCTGCGCCACAGCCTCCGCCACATCCTCCGCCGCGGCTCGGCCGGGGAGCTGCCCGCCGCCGGGGCCGCGGGAGAGGCGCCGGCCCGGCCCGGCCCGGTCCGGAAGCGTCTGCCCTGGAGCCTGGCTCGGGAGCCGCTGCCCGAGGCCCTCAAGGAGGCGACGCTGCGCTACAGCCTGGCCGACGAGGCCTCCATGGACAGCGGCGCGCGCTGGCAGCGGGGCCGGCTGGCACTGCGGGGCGCCCGGGGCCCCGAGGGCGCGGCCCGCGTGCTGGAGCTCTTCGACCCACCCAAGGTACGCTGCTCGCTTCTCCTAACCGGACTCACTGGTTTCTTCGGATTTTGCTCTTTCCCCCTCATGTCCCTTTTCAGCTCTGGGATACGATATTAAGATTTAGTTGTCACGTGTCCTTGGTGCCTCTTGGCTGTGACATCTCTGGCTTTCCTTGTTTCCAATGACCTGAAGGTTCTGAGCAGTACGGCCAGGGATTTGTAGACACTCCAGGGACACCATATGTGGGCGGCACCCGGGCTTGTGCCAGGCTACTCCAAGGTCCTTGAAAACCTTGACCCAGACGGGCTGTGACAAATAGGTTTTCTTCTACGGGGTTCAGAACCGGCGTGGAATTATTTGTTGATGTCTGATTTTGCTTCAAATTTTTAAAGTTTTGTCTTTTTCTTTTGCGGCCAACCTAATTCCAGATGTGCAGTTGAGACAGGTTCGCTGTGTTCCGCACACCTGACAAACCTTATCTGACCCAGGTGTCTCACGTGGATGGGACCATGTGGCTTTCATTTCATTGCTTTCTCTTTGTAGCCCTATCAGGTGCCAGGGCCTTGCTGTAGAATGAGCAAAGCAGATGTGACCCCAGCCCTCAGGGGTCATAGTCTGGGTAGAGGAGAGTGACAATTATGCATTCATTAAACATACATTTACTGAGCACTTGCTATGTACCAGGCATGTACCCACTGCAGGGAGAACTGGCATCTTAGTGGAGGCTACTGGAACAAACCTGTCTGTGAGCATGGACTTGTAATCTACATATTGGTTCTAAAGGAAAAGCAAGGGGGCCTCCAGGAGGATACCTGAGAGGCTCTAACTTGGTGATTGGGATGCAGTGTTGCCAGGGAATCCTTGTGTGAAGCAGCCTTCTCTGTAAGCCTCCCTGTGGTGTCACCTGTGCACCCTGAGTGTGTGATGTGCTCTGGAGGCTCCTGAGGGTCTTTGTGTGTGCACCCCTGTGACCTGCTCCCCAGGGGGCTCCCTCCTGCCTCCTCCATGTCAGTATCCCCAACCCATACTGCAATTCCTGCTTGGCACATCAAACTCCTCTGTTCTTGAACTTCATCTAATGGAGTCAAGCAGCATGTTGCCTTTTATGTATGGCTGCTTTGCCCAGCATAATGTTCTAGAGATGTGTTCCATATTCTTGTGTGTGTCAGTTCATTTTTTATCACCAAGTAGTGCCCCATTGTGTAGATGTACCATAATTGGCTTATCCATGCATTTGTTGATGGACATGTGGATTGTTTCTACTTTGGGACTTAATAACAATGCTGGTATGATGTTTACATATAGGTCACTGTGTAGATATGTCTTCCATTTCTCTCAGGTGTCTAGAAGTGGGCTTGCTAGATCATATGGTAAGTGCGTGTTTAACTTTAAAAGAAAATTCTGGCACGTTTCCAAAGTGGCTGTACAATTTTATATCCCCACCAACAGGCTTCAGTCTTATTTTCCTTTCACTTCTTCTAGGGGATGTGTACTGGTATCTCACTGCACTTTAATTTGCGTTTCCTTGATGACTCATGAGGTTAGGCAACTTTTCATGTGTTTATTGGCCATTGGCATTGATTCTTGTGAAGTGCTTATATTTTTTACTGAGTTGTCGTGCTTTTCTTATTGATGTGTAAGAGTTTTTATATATTCTGTCTATACTTTCTTTATATTGTAAATATCTCTTTGGATTGTCTTTTTACTCCTTTAATGGAATCTCTCATGCACAGAGTTCTTAATTTTAATGAAGTCCAGTTTATCAATTGTTGTCCTTTACAGTTGGACCAAGATGTATCTCAGGTTACTTTTTGTGTATGGTGTGAGGTAGGGGTCATGATTTTACTGTTGTACAGCACGATTTGCTGATGTGACCATCTTTTCCCTATTGGATTGCAGTGCTGCTTTCATCCTAAATCCAGTGTCCATTTGGACTCCTCTTCTGTCCCACTGGCCCATGTGTCTGTACTTACGCCAACACGACAAACTTAATCAAAGCTTCACAGTAAGTCTTGAGGAAATGACTTCCAGAAGGAGATCTTAATCCTGAGCTCAGAATCTCCACATTCCAGGCAAAGGGCATGGGCACAGGCTCTGTGATGGGAAAGCATTCTGCATGTTTTGGAGAGTATCACAGAAGGGGCCAGTGTGATGGGAGCACAGGGAGGGAAAATGGGGCATAGAGGAGTATATGCAGTCAGAGGATCCCATGAGGAGTTAGCAGTTTATGCCAAACACAATGGGAAGCTGTCAGAAAAACACAAGTGCAGATAAAACTCTGTTTTCTCGTCATTTTTCAAGTCTCGAGGCTGTGACACCATGAGAAGCAAAAATGGCCGAAACATGTGATCTGATCTGTGTGGTAGCATGGGGTATCACATCTGTTTGTTAGCATTTTCCCTACAAAACTCTACTTTAAAAAATAATTGCTGCTGCTTGGAGTGAACTATCTTGGAAAGTTGGGTGTTAGGAGTCAAATGCACCTGAGTTCAAAGTGCTCAGTGCTTAGTCACCAGCTCTCCTTGTTACGGTTATTACAGTGATGACTTTGGGGGCTAAGAACAGATTTGTGTCCAGTGCTGGTTGAACCCACGGTGTCCAGGTGAGAGGCACTATCCAGGTTCCTATTCTTCAGGAGCCCGGATTGGGGGGCCCGGGGCAGAGCCCTCAGAGCTAGGCAGTGGTGGTCTGCCCTGGAGAAGCCAGGGCCTGGTGGGGGTGGTGGTAGGGGGGCAGCTGGGTCTCTGGGGCTCACCCCTCTGCCCAGGCTGCCTGGGGCTCTGTCGTAGGCTTGGTGATGCTGTGGGACCCTGGGTGTTGCCTACAAGGTGAGCAGCCCCTCGTGTGGCCTGGCAGAGCAGCCACAGCCCCATCAGCCTCTGACAGCTTCCCATTGTGCTTGGAACAGTCTAGGGTACGTTCCTGAATTTCACCTTGAGTGATTCAGGGAATTCAGTTTCTGGGCTGAATTTACTTAGACTACAAGTCTTGAGGGCGCTTGCCAGGGGGGCAGTCTTGACCTCTGACACTAGAGCTGTCTATGGAGCAGCTTTAAACAGAAGGAAAAGGAAGGTTTGACAGCCGGTGGATGGTAAGGGCTTGACCCCTGGGTTCACAACAGAGCTCTGTCACTTAAAGGGTATTCGGCACCAGCCTGGAGATGATCCTTTCTGCCCAGAGTAGGAGTCCTGGAGGGCAAGAACTGAGGGCAGCTGGCCCAGGATGTCACTTGGGCCTCAGCCAAGCAAATGGCATTCAGGATCTGAGGCCAGGGGCTCACGGGTACCAACTCCTCCTGACCAGCTGTGTGACTCTGGGCCAGTCACTTCCCCACTTGGAGCCTCAGTCTATTCATCTATAACGTAGGGGTGTTCGCAGCAGCCCCCTCAGGGGTCCTCAAGAGGGCTGTGGGGAAGGGACCTCTTGTTACGGGCTGTGTGAGTGGAGGCCGTGGCCAGGTTGCTGGGGTAGGGGGTGGGGGTAGTTGGAGGGGACACCTGTGGCTACTTGCTGAGCTCCGAAGCCCTCTTTTGTGAAAAAGTCTGTGTCCTCTGGTTTCAGAGGCACCCCTGCAGGTGGGCAGGAGGGGGGTCTACCTTCCCTCCTACTGTGTGGTGGCCTCAGGAGGGAATGACTGCCACTGGTCATTGGTCAGTGGTTATGGAAGGCTCCTTGTCAGGAGGTGACACCCAACATGAGAGAAGGTGACAGACCCGAAAAACATGGGTGAAGGAGGCCCAGGGCCTGTGGTGGGCATAACCAGGAGACTTTGAGGAACAACCAAGTGGCCTGGGGCTGGAGTGGGGTGAGCCAGGAGGGTGGGGTTCATGGGCCACCATGGGGACTTAAGGCTTCACACTAAGAGTGTGCGAGCACCGGAGGGTTCAGGCCCTGTGGTCGTGGGCAGGAGGAGCTCTCTGGGGTTGCCTGTGGTCTTCTGGTGGCAGACTGGCCTTGGCGTGGTACTCTTAGAAGACTGGTCATGTGCCTGCTTACCCATGGCACCTCCCTCTCCTTGGGCATCTCTGAACCCTGGGCTGGGTGAGGCTGGGTGAGCAGTTTTACCACATTGAATGGGCACCCACTATGCCTTCAATGCTTGCTATCAAGTCCTTGCCGCAAGGTCGAGCCCATTGGCTCACTTGGTGGGGAGGACACCGAGACTGGGAGAGGGGAGATCTGAACCCCGATCCCAAGGGGTGCCTGTTCCCAAGCCACCACCCACACAGTCATACTGGCTCCCTTGAGCAAGAGGATGCAGGTGCCAGCCCCAGCCAGGACAGGCCTGAGGTGTGCCATCCCACTCAACCATTAAAAGAAAAACAAGTTGGATTGGTTGCCAATACTTAAAGACCCAGAAAATGGAGAGATTTCACACAAGAATCCAGATTGCTATTTTCTTATAAAACCAGTGGCTCTGGCGGTGCTGGCCCAGCATCACCAGGGAGTGATGCCAACCTGGGCCTGGCTGAGCTCTGCAGAAGGAGAGCCTGACTGGGAGGCAGGGGTGCCCAGGGTAGGGAGAGATGACAGAAGCAGCCCCCTGGGTGGGTGGGTGGCCTTAGGGTAGGGCCTTCCCCGAGAGGGGGCTGGTCATTTTCAGATAGAGTGTAACCGGCCTGGCGGGGGCCTCAGCTTCCGCCTATGTCCAGGCCTGAGTTGGCTGAGATGGTCTCAGGGCCTTGCCAGGTCTGGGAGCTAAGCCTGTTTCTCTCATCTGTACAGTGGGGCTGCTGATGGAGTTCTAGCTATTGTTAAAAAATAGACCATTTGCCAACATTTATTTGGCCCTTGTTATATACCAGGCACTTACTGACCTGCCTTCATTTAATGCTCACAGCAGCCTTGAGGGAGCTGCTCTGATTACCCCCACTGCACAGATGGGGAAACTAAGGCCAAGAAAGGGTCAGTGCCTTGCCCAAGGTCACATAGCTCTCAAGGGGGTGAGATGCAGTTGGAACCCAGGCAGTCAGGCTGTACCTGGTACCCTGTGAGTCTTCAGAAGGACTTACTGTTGGTAC